TTAATATTATTATGGCTAGTGATATGCAAAAATGAATTCATGAAGATGAACATGTTGAAGCAGAAATTGTGTATGGAGTTGAAGAATGCTATCGTAGTATTACAAATCTCTTGCAAGACTCTGGATTTCCAAAAGGAGTGCTACCACTTAAATACCTTGAAGAATTTGGCTATGTTCGCAAGACTGGATTTGCCTGGATGAAACAAAAAGCTCCCTACGACCATTATTTTACTTCAATTAAAATGCTTGTGAGTTACGCCACTGAGATAACTGCATATGTCGAGACAAGTATATATACATTATTGCTAAAATCTGCTTATTTTTAGAAATATATATTTTTTAAATATTGCTTTTGAAAAAGAAGAATTGTGTGTCTGGCTAATTTTATTTGAAAATTGTTTTTGATAAGCAAATTGTGTTTGGCTAAATTTTTGTTTAAAAAGTGCTTTTGAGAGTGAAATTATTAAAAAAAAAATATTATCGATGCACTTTTAATGTTAAGATTCTTTTATAAAGAGAAGTTATTTTAAATATCTATTATACAAAATTTAATAAATCAAAATGTACATATTCAAATTTTCAATCAATATTAATATACAGAGATAAATAAAAAAACTGATATAATATTAACATGATGATTTAAGTATAATTAAAAATATCAAGCAAAATAAATTTAAAAACAATTTCATAAATTAAATCACTACATACGAAAAAATCACCATAAAATAAATAAGCTTAAGGGGATATATTGGTAAATATGCATATAAGGCATGAATATTTTGGTCTTTAAAAAAATAATTTTATGTTTCTGCTTTTTTTAAGAAGCAATTTTTTAGCTTCTTTCCAACTTCATAAAAACTACTTCTACTTCCATTTAAAAACAGTTTTTACTGATTGACCTAACATCTTAATTTTGCAAAATAAGTGGTACTCTCCCAACAGCGATACCAAACCGTTTAAGTTATTTGAAAGAACATATTTTTAATTAAAATTGTATTGTAAGTCATTTCATATAAAAAATTTAAGTTATTTGAAAAAAAAAATTATATTATATTATACCTCGACAGGTAAAATGAAAAAAATAAGTGGTGTCAAAGGTAAGCAGCTGCTTCTTAGGGTACCTGCAGTTGAGATGAGCATTAATGAAGATCAAAAGAAGATTTATTTAAAACTTCTATGGGATTTGGAAGGTCTTATCCCATTACTGCCTTTATGACTGACGATGAAAAGGAAAAAGCTAACGAGTAATGCATAAGATTTGGTTCCTCTCTATTTGTATTTTCTCCGTTTTTCCCAAGTTCTTATTTGAACTAAAAAATGTTTTTTTTTTTTTTAAATTAATGAATAAAATCTAGACCTTAATCATGATTGATTAGGATATAATTGCTCATGATATATATGACAACATAATTTCATATTGAAGAAATAATTTAAATAGTTGTATATTCAACAGTTTAAATTAAAAATAGTGGACAAATATATAATGTGTTTAATTACGTATAGTGTATATATATATGTGTGTGTGTAAAGATTCTAATTAATAGTAGTTGATAAGTGACAACTGAGAAATATCAATTTGTATAGTAATATTGAGTATACTCCTTCGTCTTTATTTGTTAAAATTTGATTTGACACATTTATTAAGAAAATAATGATTGGTATATTGAGTTTCCAATTTACTCCTATTAATTGATAGGGTCTTGAACATATATTCACTAGTACAGTTTTCAAAGACATTAACTTAATGTTCATAAATTCAGAATATAATAAGTAAAAGAAAATTGTCATTGATTTGTCAAAAATGACAAGTAAAAGAAGAAATCAAATTAGAAAATATTTGACAAATAATTAAGGACGAGGGATTATGAAATTGAATCCAAATGTCGGATGAAATAACGTGAAGTAAAGGGAGAGAAATGTCAAATCAATGCAAATACAAATGTCTATATATAAAGCTAATTTGAATTTTTTTTTAAAATATACAAATAAAAATAAAAATTGAGTTAAAGTTTGGTTTATGTAAAAATGAGGTTTTTAACCGTTGGCTGCTTACATTTTTCATAAGCGTCTCACACGTACAAAGTGTGGTTAAGACAATTTGCTTTTTCATGACTCATGTAACAGATAGAGGGGAGGGGGTGTTTAAGTTCATTTAGTCAAGTCTATTGGTGGTCTAAGTACTAGCCACTAGGTATAGTTCATCAACAAAAATAATAATTCGAACTAAGTTTGAGGACGTTTTCACCACTTCACTCTTTATATTTGCACATAATAACCATCCGCTGAATAGGCGTAAAGCTATAAAATTAGGTACACATTTTAATAAACTTAATAACTTTTTTGTCTAGATTGTATTAAAAAAACGAAGAAGGGCCTAAAATACCCTTCAAGAATAGAGAATGGAACAAAAATACCCTCCTTCCACCTTTGGGCTCCAAAATACCCTTCCATCCACCTATATGAACCTATACTACCCTTTCACTTAATAGATTTTTTAAGATAATAGTTAATCTTTTCATTAATAACGCGGCAGCCTTTAATTGGCTGAAATTTAAATTAATAAAAAAATATTTTTTTTGTTCTATTCCCTATACTTGAAGGGTATTTTAGATAAAAATTGATAAAGGTTATAAAATAGTAGAACACTGGCTCCTTTTATCTTTTCCATATTAATAGTTTGTTGTGAACCAAACTATGTAAGGGTATATACATAGACTAGAAGAGGAGAATAAGAGCTCGTTTGGTTTTTGACTTTTAAGTCAAAAATAAAAAGTCAAATCAAAATGACTTTTAAGTCAAAAAATAAAAAGTAAGGGGAGACCTATTTTTGGTTTTGATTTATTTTAAGTCATTTTCAACTTATTTTAAGTTTTTTTTGGCCTTGTCAAACACTTCCTAACTTATTTAAAATCATTTTTAATACTTATTTTAAACTATTTTTTATATTTGTCACACACTTTCAGAAGTCAAATACTGACTTTAAAATAAGTTTGACTAACTTTTAGACCAATTCAAACACCCTCTAAGATTGATTTATAAATTGAAATTATTGAGTCATAGTAAATTATTGAAGTTATTTGAAATCTACCCCAATCAACAAATGATTAAAAGAGGCGACAAGGGGTTTGAAAGAAAGGATTACATGTATTGTGAAGTCAAATGCCTCTATTTCTTAGTCCAATTTTTTTGGGTTTGCTTCTCATCCTTTTTTTGATTCTATTACTTCATCAGTTCTATTTTATGTAAGCTAGTTTGACTCGGTATAAATTTTAAGAAAAAAAAGTAAGATTCTTAAAATTTGTGGTCTAAAATAAATGATAAAATTTGTGTGACTATAAATAATTTCATTAAGGGTAAAATAGATATTTTAAAATTAAATTGTTACTTAATATAGAAATGTGTCATTTTTTTTGGGACTGACTAAAAAAGAAAGTAAGTCATATAAATTGGGACAGAGGGAGTATATCTTATGTATTCGATATATAAGAGTCTGTGTAAATATGGGCCTAATAGATAATATTGTATTTAGGGCAAATTATAGAAATCACATACTTTTAAGGCAAAATTACAATTTATCCCTTAAAAGTTTATAATTACAGAAATTCCTCAAACGGATACAATAATATAAGCGCTGATACATTAATCTGATGCGCGAGATACATTAATCGGTAAGTAAGATACATTACATTTTATACATGATACACTAATCTGATGTACATTTTATACATGATACACTAATCTGATGCGTGAGATACAATAATATAAGCACTGATACATTAATTTGATGCGCGAGATACATTAATCTGATGCGCGAAAATGAGGGATTTTGGAGATTTGTAAAACTTATAGGGAATAATGGTAATAAGTAAACAAAAAGGTGGGGTTTCTGTAATTTTTCCTTTTATTTATTTCAATTTATGTGGCACAAATGATATTAGGAGAGTGAATAAATTTTTTAAATAATTTAAGTTCTTAATTATTGTAATTTATAATACTTTTAACGTAATTTTCAAATAATATATGTTACTCACTATGTTCCAACTTATGTGAACACATGTGATATTTCCAAATTAGTCAACCAAATTTTAGTATGGTTGTTTAAATTTTTTAAGTTGTTAATTATTGTAACTTATAGTACTTTTAATTAATTTAAATAATGTGTGTTATTTCCTATGTCCCAATTTATGTGGTACATGTGCAATTTCGAGAGTTGATCAAATTTTTAATATGTTTCTAAATATTGTAAGCTGTGAGTTATAGTACTCTTACCGTAATTTTCTACTCTCTGTCCCAATTTATGTGACATATGTGAAATTTCAAAAAATAATTATATTTTAATATGTTTTTCAAATATTTTAAGTTGTTAATTATTATGATTTATAGTACTCTTAACGTAATTTTCAAATACTATATGTTACTCCCTCGGTCTTAATTATGCAATACGGGTAAAATTTTGAGAGTTAACTAAATTTTTAATAATTTATGTTTATTTTTAGTACTATTATTTACATGCATAACATATAAAAAAGAAAACAAGACAAATAAATTAAAATGAAGAAAACACTACATGTGAATAGAGGAAGTTGAATTGTTGAAGGAAAAAGCAAACCGATCAATTGACCGGGCTGACCCTAAGCTCCTTTAACATATATATATATATATATATATATATATATATATATATATATATAGTTTTGTTAAGTTCTTTGAGTTGTAATCATTTGCTATTATATTATTAATAAAACTCAAATTTAGAAATCGTGGAAAATAAAATGCACAATAAGAATGCACAATGTATTCTTTCAAGATAGTTATTCCCGTTGCACCTCCTATTCCGAATTTCGTTGTTTCTGTTTCCAACGTAAAAAATCTAATTCCTACCACTCTTGATTATACAAAATATATGCTTTTGGAGAGAGTTATTTCTTCCCGTGTTTAAAGGACATGGTGTCTATGGCTTCATTGATGGAAGTCATCTATGTCCAGAACCTATTCTTACCATGGAGAACGGAACTTCGACTATTAATCATGTTTTTCAACAATGGATTCAACTTGACTCCATTGTTTTGTCATGGATACAAGCCACAATCTCTCAAGAGATACTTCAGGCTATTATTCATCCTAACAACAGTCTTACTGTTGGCAAGGCGTGGCTACAGATTGAACGTCTTTTTCGTGATCATGCTAGTTCCCGAACTCTCCAACTTAAGTTCAATTTCATAATCTAAAGAAAGGTTCTCTTTCTATCTCTGATTATGTGCACCGCCTCAAATCCATTGCCGATTCCTTGATATCAATTGGTAATCCTATCTCTGATTCAGATCTTGTTCTCCAAGTTGTTTTTAGCCTACCTTTCGAATCTCTCTCTGTTAGCACTTCAATCTCCACCAGAATTCCACTTCCTTCTTTTCTTGAGACCATATCTCTTTTATTTCTTCATGAGACCCAATTAAATGGTATTTCCTATGCCGCGTTAGATTCTTCTACTGCTTTACTAGCTAACCATAATTCATCTTCTCAAGGACGTGGACGTGGAAGAAATTCTAATGGTGGTCGATATGGTAATGGTGATCGTGGTAGAGGCCAACAACAACAATAACAACGGCAACCATAGAAACTATTCCACTGCTCCTCTCCAATCTGCTTCACGTCTTCACGCTTCTTCTATTCTAGGGACAACTCCACACACTAGTACTTCTCCATTCTATCTTAGTTGTCCAGTAGTGCCTTCTCCTTTTCAATGTCAATTATGTTTTCAACCTACTCATACTGCAAGAGGTTATCCATCTCTTGGTTCTAAAGAACTTTTTTTTTATCTTCAATCTTTCTCCTCTGCGCATTCTTATGATCCGACAGGTCATACTCATTGGTATGTTGACACTGGAGCCTCTTCACACATGAAACCTAATCTTTCACATCTCTCTTATGTTCAACCCTATAATGGTAATGATCGTGTTATGGTAGGTAATGGTAATCAACTCCCCATCTCTTATACTGATAATAATACATTCTCTACTCATTCTTCTACTTTCTCTCTAAATAATGTTTTGGTTGTTCCAACTCTTTCTTGCAATTTTTTAAGTGTTCGTAAATTTACTTTTGATAATAAATATTCAATTGACTTTGATGCTTTTGGTTTTTCAATTAAGGACTTCCAAACGAAGAGAATTCTTCTCAGGTGCAATAGTTCGGGTCCCCTTTACTCTTTCTCTCCATCAACTCCTGTTGTTGTTGCTCATCATGCTTTTGTTGCTTCCCATGCTTCTCCAACTCTCTGTCATCGTCGTCTAGGCCACCCTAGTATAGGTGTTCTTTCTAGTCTAGTTAGAAATAATAATTTGCAATGTTCTTTTTTGAAGAATTTAGATTTTCTTTGTAATTGTCAACTTGGCAAGCACACAAAACTACCATTTAAGGAATCCATATCTTCTTCTACTTCTTCATTTGAATTGATTCATAGCGATATTTGGACCTCCCCAATTCCCTCTTTTACTGGTTTTCGTTACTATATTTTATTTCATGACGATTTTACTAAATTTACATGGGTGTTTCCAATTCGACGCAAATCAGAAGCATTCCTTATGTTCAAAAACTTTTACTCTTATGTTTTAACTCAATTTTCGGTCAAAATTAAATCACTACAATGTGATGGAGTTGCCGATTACGTCAAACTTTCTTCTTTTCGTGAGTTTTTAAATTCAAATGGTGTTTGTCTTCGCATTTCATGTCCACATACTCACCAGCAAAATGGTAAAGCCGAACGAATGCATCGCACTATACTAAATATGCTTCGGTCTTTACTTTTTCAATCTTTTCTTCCATCTCAATTTTGGGTTGAAGCTCTTAATACTATTGTCCATATCTTAAATATTCTACCTTCTTCCAAGCTCAAGTTTAAAACTCCTTATGAACTTCTTTTTGGTAAACAACCATTGTATCATCATTTACGTGTATTTGGTTGTTCTTGTTTTCCTAAACTTCGTGATTATGTACCACATAAGTTGAGTCCTCGATCTAAACATTGTATTTTTCTTGGTTATCCTTCAAATTATAAAGGTTTTAGGTGTTTTGATCCTTTAGAAAATAAAGTTTATATTTCCCGTCATGTTATTTTTAAAGAGGACTCTTTTCCATATCCTTCCTTAATTTCTTAGTGTATATCTCCAAACACTTCCTTGTCTTCCTTTAAAAATTCATCATCACTATTATTTCCTTCTCTCACGTCTCCAAATATTTCTCCTACTTTATCTCCAAATAGAGTTTTCAATTTGCATACTTCTCTTAATCTGGAACGCTTTAGTCCCCTGCCGACACATTCCTCGTCTTTCTCACCTACTCCAATACGTCCATCTAGTACTTATCCTAATGTAACATCCTCAACGCTGCTAGCTTTTGACCTTCTCAATCTAGGACTCAATCTTCTCTATCTCCAGTAACTACTTCTCCTAATTTACAAGGACTCTATACACAGAGAGGGAACAGTTCCCTATGTATCTCAAACGCAAAACGTTTCATCTCTTGATTCTAAATTACATCCGATGATCACCCGAGCACAATCTGGAAAGCTCAAATCCAAAATTCTTCCTTATTTATATTCTCACATATCTCGTATGTCATCTCAACCTTCTCTTCCTCCTTAACCCAATTCATTTTCTGAGGCGAATAAAAATCCAAATTAGAAAAGGGAAATGGTAGATGAATACAACTCCATCATCGCCAACAACACCTGGGACTTAGTGTTGCCCTCTACTAATGCAAATGTCATTGGTTGCCGATGGGTTCATAAAGTGAAACAAATATCTGATGGCTCGCTTGACCGCTATAAAGCTCGTCAAGTTACTCAAGGTTATAATAAAAAACATGGATTAGACTACGATCAAACGTTTAGTCCTGTGGTGAATCCAGTCACCATTCAAACTATTTTTACTTTAGCGGCGTCCAAAGGTTAGGCAATTCATTTTAATTAGACGTTAAGAATGCCTTTTTACATGGCACTCTTAATGAACTGCTATATATGAAGCAACCTACTGGTTTTGTTCATCTGCAATTTCCACATCATGTTTGCCGATTGAACAAAGCCCTTTATGGCTTAAAACAAGCTCCACGAGCATGGTTTCATCGGTTCACCTCCTTTCTTGTCAAACATGGTTTTAAAAATAGTTTTTCTGATAATTCTCTTTGTATTTACAAATTTGCTTCGGACATAATCATTCTTCTTTTATATGTGGATGATATTCTTATCACTTCGTCTTCGAGTTCTATAACACCCCGAAAACTAGTTGACTAAACCAAGGCTAAGCGTGAGGGTTAGAGCCAAGGAAGAGGGCAAGAGCCAAGGAAGAGGACTAGGGCAGTCCATTCTTACATTGAAACTGCCTCACATTCCATGACCACCACCATCATTCGTGGTGAAAACCACGGCTCGTGGTGGGCTAGGCAGTGGCTAAACAAAGGCTGCCTAAAACAACCCCCTCCACACGAGTCATTTCACAACTCGTGGTGATGACTACGGCTCGTGGGAAGGCTCATGGTGGTGCCTTAGATTTTTAAGGGTTAAGGGGAAGGTTGCCTAGCTATTGTATCATGACCACGAGAGGCACCATAGCTCGTGGAGCCTCACGTGAAGGGCTTTTCACTAGACTTAGAGTTTAGGATCAACTTCAAATGATGATATCTATTATCTCAAAATGAATTAGGTGGTCCATTACCTATCCAATTAAAGGTCTCTGAGTCCTCTTATCAACGCCACTGAGTTTGCTCGATTCCCATCTCAGAGTAAAAAGTTATGCCCAAAATAGTGAAGCACTGTCAGGCTGAATATTCTTCACGACCCGTTTGACGGGCCGTGGTGATGATGACGATCCGTGAAAGCGTCCTTCATGTTATTTCGGCAGTTAACAGTCCGGGAACTTCTTGGGTCTTTTCCCAATTGTTTTAAATCAAAGATATGTCATTTTTCCCAAGTCTATGAGCCCTATATAAGTCATTTTTGCCCCAAAACTCACCTAATTAAGTCATTTATTCCAAGACCCAAATAAAATCCCCAAAAGCTCTCCTCTCAAATATTTCTCTCTCTAGAAAGAAGAAGAAGAAGAAGAAGAAGAAGAAGAAGAAAAATAAGAAAAAGATGAGGAGAATCAAACTAGTTCAAGTCAAGTCTCCATTGTTTCAAGTTTGGTAGGCTTTGTATCCAAGGTATGTTGGCTTATTCATCCATGGAGTTCCTAGATTTCCCCGAATTGTGAAGATGAAATCCCCAATTCAAAGTTAGGGTTCCTTCCAAAATTGTGGGTTTAGTTGAGTATGATTCCAATTGAGTGGATAGTACTTGTTTATGATCGTTTTAGTATTGAATCATGATATTATGATGATATTGTATTTTTTCTATGGTTAACCCTAGTCTAATTGATGAAATCGATATTATGTGGGTTTATGCCATGAAAGGTGAAATTGAAGACTTAGAGATGATTTCCCCCCAATTGTGAAGATGAAATCCCCAATTATAAGTTAGGATTCCTTTCAAAATTGTGGGTTTAGTTGAGTATGATTCCAATTGAGTGGATAGTACTTGCTTATGATTGTTTTAGTATTGAATCATGATATTATGATGATATTGTATGTTTTTTATGGTTAAACCTAGTCTAATTGATAAAATCGATATTATGTGGGTTTATGCCATGAAAGGTGAAATTGAAGACTTAGAGACAATCTTCTAAAATTGATGATGTCTATAGCAATTGATCAAGAATAGAAGTATGTAAACATGAATTGAATTAGATTAAAGATTATATGATGGATTTTGACTAGTAATGAATGAGATTGAGCCTTTATGATGAATTAGGACTAGAATTGCTTAAAGATGAAGCTTGTGACTAAATTATCTTATGATCTAGATATGTATGATGATTTTTAGAAGTAAAGCTTTGAGAGTAAGGCTTGTAGTCATGAATATTGATCACTAGGGCTTTGAGAGTAAAGCTAATATGGTGAATAATGTATGCTAGGGCTTTTAAAGTAAGTCTAATATGATGAGATAGCTTGCATGAAATCGGTAGACTAATAGATAGGGGGTTGTTGTGGAAGGCCTTTACCCACATGACCTAGATTATGTAAGTATGAGACTATATATGTTCTTATAGAACCTATGTAAATGTTTTACGAACATTTTGAGAGTGAAGTGTCTATGATTATGATATGTAGATGTGTTGATTGAAAGACTATTCTAGATGAACACATAATGAACATGATGTGAAAAGTTTTCTCACATAGAATGATTCTAGAAGTTGGAAGGTTTGCTCACATAAAAATGAATCAAACATGTTAGACTAGAATAGCTTGAAGTTGTGACATAGGTTCCCTTCATGGATAGCTTGACTTGGTAAGACAAGACCATCTCAAGGGTAACATGAGTATAAGACCTCATGGTAGCCTTAGATTGGGTAATCACACTTTTCTTAAGGGTAGCTTGCACTAGTGTTCATGGAATGTTTGCATGGTATATCATGGCTTGGTTAGGCCAAACCATTTCATTGGTAGCTAGGATGGTGAAATAATACCATTCCTTGTATATGTTGGACTTGCGTGATAGTATGCCTTCCA